TAACCTGCTGCTGCGCATGAACATATTTTGAAGTCACAATAATTTATTATAAAAAATAGCTATTTTTTCAACTAAAACAAAATAATTTTGAACGACTGATGAATGTGCGAAACCAGCCTAGTACGAGGCGTCATTCCTCATCTCTCGATGGTAAACTGTCTCTACTGTAGCTCAAACCTATCTTAGATGCCCACCTTGACGCTCAAATGACGAACTTTATTTATCCAGGGTTTGTTACTTGTGAGGATAAGGAAAGAGGTGCATTTAATATCTATACTCAGACAGGTAATCTTCGAAGTATTGAGCAGAAATGTCATTGGCGTAAAGACCAATCAAGGGTATAGTAGTGATGCAGCTGCGGCATCCAATTCGAGTCTACTGTGTAGGCTTCTTCTGTCTCTATTATGCTCTGGGTATCTTCCGCTGTTACTGTTTCCGCAATACTCTTTCCTCACCCGTTCATTTCGCTCTCGATTTTTTTTTATAATCACGATGGACAGAACATCTCCTCATGATGCCCTCCGACGTGGGGCAGAACGTTTTTTATCTCTCGTTATGCTACCTTTTTAGCAAAGTTTCACCAATATGACTGCCTTCACGAGAGCAGACATGCCCCCTCCTTCCCCCAAACATTCCATCGTTGTCATATGCTCGCTACTTTAATATAGAGACCTCAAAATCCATGGTTGTCAGCACAAAGTCCCCAATCATTGTGTCGGCGAATTTAATTTGCTTTACAACCATACTCTCGAATATTGCCAAATGTAGCTAAGTAGCGATTGTCAAGCTATACTGTATTTTATTTCTGTGTTCCTCAACGAATCGTTGAAGGATTCAGCTCACCACCTTGCTCCTTTGTGGAAATCTTTATCATCGGTCCTTTGTTAGTCAGTCACTGATGTACACCATTGGCATGATAGTTGCCATTTCTATCTTTAGCTCGCTTCACTATTGCACCGGAAGGTTGCAGCTTCACCAAATTTCTTTGAAGAATGCAAGTTCCTTCTGTTGACTGATTGGTCAGGACGGCCTCGGCTTCACAGCATCAGCCCGGGCGAAGCCAAAGATGTATTTGCTGAATGCTCGATGGCTGTCGAGCAAAATCTAGTTACATAAACCAAATTATTTAAGCTAACCAGTGAGGTAATCAGAAATGAGGAAAATTTTGGCCATAATCCTTATCTTTATCTTTGCGATCTGCATTAAGTGAAATCATCTGATGAAAGCAAGTTTTGAATATGATGGTCCTGTGTTATTTAAATTATTCCTCATTTAAGTTAATCACACATCGTTACTCAGCCGTCAGGGGACCGAATGAAATCATTTGTCTGGAAAATCAGCAGAAGAATGAATGAGGTATGAGCCATCTTTAACCATATTAAAACACTAATCGATTGTCAGGTAAATTTCCCGGCAAAGAAAGAATTGTTCGATCAACCAACCTACCCGCCATGATCTACAGCTCCGAATGCTGGTCTGTCAGCAAAGCTGAGGAGGGCAAACGGGTGGTCACGCAATGAGCGATTAAGCAAAGATTTTGCAAGGTCTGTCTCTGAGGTCATGTACCTAGCATACAAGCGCAACAGCGTTCGTGATATGAGGTCAAGAGAAAATGGGTTGGTAGTGCATCAAAAGACAACCGGTGAATGCCAAAAATTACAATGTAAAGTACAACACACTGGGATAATTCACTGGTCAAATTACTTGGTCAGCGGGAGAGATTGAAAGAGGGAGAATAGATAATGATGGAGGAGGGTCGTCTTGCGTTCATGGCGCACCAAAAACGAGGGCAATTTTAATAAAAGGTGATTTGTTGACTCAGAAACAGCAAATGGAAAAAGTACTTGAGTGGTTGATCTCAAACAAGTAAAATTGTTGTCTGAAACACGCCATGCATCCATTTTCCTTCTAGTTCTGCAAGGCTTTCTCATACTCCGCCATTAGTATTTTTTAAATATCCTAATTATAAAACATTTATTTCTGCCATTATTACATTATCGTTTGGAGTCGCTGATGATGCATAGAATTGAAATCTCAATACTGCCAATAATGGCCGTCGCCAACACTCCGGCTACGATCTATGTATGTATGAGGGGCTTCTAAGCATCATCAAAAGGCGCGAGCTATTTCCAAACCTGAACATCACCAAACTCACGGAAATGCCCAATATCATGCACTCTGCGGTGTCGTAGAGCCGCCTTGCCTTGTTATGTAACAGGAGTTCTAATGGCATTTCTTGACAGCAAAGCTTTCGTAGCGGCTACATACATAAACAGTCTCCTGGAGGCCGAAACAGGACACGTGAGTAGAACAATGTGCCTAGTTGGACATATATTACGGAAGAATTCAGTGCTGGCTATTGTCAATGGAAGGTGTAAGAAGTGCTGTTGAAAAATTTATTTTTTGGACCCAACAAAATTCCAAAATTGTTCTGACATGAACATTCTCTGAGCGCTATAAAAATATGCGGCCGTCACCCATTTCCCGGGTCCCGGGTCCGCTAAAAGCGGAAATTACATACGAGCGGTTTTGATCAGGCTGGAAGATGGAGATCGTCTAAAACAAACACTCTACAAGGCAACTCAAGGTGCGCAATTAATCGTCGTAAATAGCCCACATGAAACCAGATCCGGGGAGAAAAAAGCATTCGGTGGTCAGCAAGTTAATCTCTGAAAAATGAAGCTCAACCCTTGATTTAACTGCGGTAATGATGACCAGACCACGGAACATATCATTTGCCTATCTTGAAACTTTCATGTTGAAATGGTAGTAACTTGGAAGTGGTGTCGCAGCCCATTCTTCTAGGCTGGCATGGTGGTTGCTTGTCACTGACAAATAATAACCTTTCCTGACGGAAACCTTACAAAGAAATCCACTTCCTGGAATTCTTTGGGTTAGATGTACATTTGAGAGACATTGGCAATCGCTTGTGAAGTTTGACAGCCCACATGACTCTGAAGATCAAGCAATCCTCAAGACGAGAGGTCACAGGAGGAATGCTGACTAGTCTTAGTGATTCGTCCCTCTGGCAGTTCGACAGCACGGCATCAGACATACAAAAAATTATTTCAGTGGCTATCGAATGATTCAGATGATGAAAATATGGACGTAACATTTTTATTTACTTCCATTCACACAATGGCAGAGAATTTCGGTACAGAAGTAGATCACAAAACTTGTTATTGACGCAGTTCTTGCGTTTGTGAGTGTGTTGTTAGAACTGAAAATATAAAATTTAACCAGGCTGCTTGTTGAAAGTGTCTGCCCTTCGGTATTGTAGTGTAAGCGCAGCAAAAAACGACTGATCATGTCCTCGAGGTTGAATCATATAGGTTCTACCTTCGTAACCCAAGAAAGATTAGAGAGTTCATTCAATCTTGTATTTTTGATTAATTCGGTAAAAACTGTTCTAAATCGTCGTCCCTCATCGATCATCCAGTTCTACGTGATGGTAAACAATATTCGACAGGAGTGAATAGCTGAGAGCTGCGCTTTCGAGAAACGTAGATCGAATTAACAGGACAAAGGACAGAATATGATCGATGACAAAAATGCAATTACTTTGCGAAACAGTAACACTGACATCCAGAAGGAGTAGTTCAACGACTACCGTGTGTTTAAAAGAAGTGCTTTAATATAAAGCCTTGATTATGGAAATAGTTTTGCGTTGGCAGTATGATGTTAAACCGATCAAGTATGACACTTTGTCTGCAAATATGGATGACCATAATTCTATTCATTTCCGTATTAATTCGAAAAAATCATGATGAAATCGCTTCACTAATCAATAAACTCATCGAACGACAAATATGTTTTAATGCAGTGAAACGCCTGGCAACGCAAATTTGCAAAAAGGTATAACCTGTGATTCTAGCTTCCGGAAAGCAAAGCCAATGAAACCTTGTCCAAAACTGTCTAATGATCAGATATGACTGATTTGTTGTA